CCCACCCCACCCCACCCCACCCCACCCCACCCCACCCCACCCCACCCCACCCCACCCCACCCCACCCCACCCCACCCCACCCCACCCCACCCCACCCCACCCCACCCCACCCCACCCCACCCCACCCCACCCCGCCGTGGTGACATCCCTGCATCCCTTCCCGCCGTCCCCCCCCGCAGGCGGCTGCCCACCGCTGGTACGTGCTGGGGCTCCGGGAGGTGCACAAGGCGGTCCGGGCGCGGCGGGCGAGAGTGGTGGTGATTGCGCCCAACATCGAGGAGGTCGCGGTGGAGGGCGGACTGGACACTACGTTGCAGGCCATATTGGACATGTACGTACGTGTATGCGTGTGTGTGTGTGCGTGTGTGCGTGTGGGGGAAAATGTTGAGTTGAGTTGAGTTGAGCTGAGCTGAGCTGGCATTGCGGTGAATGAATGGCAGTAAGATGCATGCATGCAGCCACACAGTTGTTTATGTTGGTGTACCAAGTTCAGTGTTTTGGGTGGGGAAGGGAAGGACAGCTTTGCCACTGTGCCACGTCCTTGTCCCCTTTTGCACACATGTCCATGCTGCCATACGCAACCAGCGTCCGATAGCACATTCGCCGCTGTGTGTAGGACCCTGTTTTACCTGCATTGTTACCTACTGCATTGCCACTCACGTAAAACCGCATGCAATCAGCTGTTTTGTTTACGTTCCCTATGGGCTTCGAACCGGCGACCTGACGCGGTCGCACACCAGGTGTTCAGAGCAGGAGACTGTGGCGTTTTTCGCCCTTAGCCGCAAGCACCTGGGCCGTGTGTACGGCTACAAAAAGCGAGTGAGCGCTGTCGCCATTTTGGAGCTTAATGGCATCCACGAGGCTTACAAGCAAATCGCCAAGCTGGCGAAAGGCGCCAGGGAGGGCTGGCGCGACCGCGCCGCTGCCGCCCCAGGCTCCGCCTCCGCCTTGCCGCCTGGCAGGCCGGCCGTGAGCGCTTCCGACCCTCTTGGAACGCTGTCATTGCCACGGGGTGACAGCTCGATGGGGGAGGACTCGGAGGACGGTGACGATGAGGAAGAGGAATGGGACGGTGACGGGGATGGTCAGCAGGGGCAGGTGGAGGTGCAGCTGGAAGGAAAGGATGTGGTAGGATCCGTGGAAACACAGCAGCAGCAGCAGCAGCAGCAACAACAACAAGAAAAGCTGCAACGGCAGCATCCGCCAAGTCTGCAGCCTCGGCAGCATCCTGCCCGCGCGGAGGTGCAACCGGAGGGACACCGTGCAGTTTGCAGTGCGGCGCCGAGCGGCGGCGGCAGCGGCAGGGTCTGTGCGAATGGCGAATGCAGCGGCGGCAGCTCAGCGAGCTTTCCGTCTGAGCAACGTTCCGTCACCGCGCGAGGAAATGAATGTGCTGTCGGTGCAGCCGCAGACAGCACAGGCGCTGACGCTGGAAAGGACCCGGCGGCGCGGAACGGCAGCACCAGCAGCACCAGCGGCACCAGCGGCGTCAGGCCCTGGCTTCTCAACGCCGCCGCGCCGGTGTTCATACCCCGGTTCGCTGCGGTCTAAGTAGCGCTTAAGACGCGCTCCCCTCCGGGCGGACTGCTCACCTCCACCTCCAAGGAGCCTTGGGCGCAGTCGGATCGCGCGCTTACATGAAGACGGTGGCATATGATGGTGAGACGGTGGTGATGGATGGTGGAGCGCGCTGGGAACTGTTGCCTAAACGTCATTCCCGGGCAGGGCGTGGTGGCAAGCGAGGGCCGGGGCCGCGGGGCGTGTGTGTATTGTGGGGAAGCCCCCGGTCAGGATTGGAGGGCTGGGGAATATAGTTGGTGAGGGTGCGAATGGTGGGGTGCGATCACAGCATTATCCACCGGGACCCACAAAATGCCGGCCGCAATGAGCCGCGCGGGTTTTCAGTTTTGCGGCTGATGCATCCAGTTGTGGCTGGCAGGTCCTTTGGTGGCTGGGAGTGGGGGCGCTGTCGGAGATGCTCCCCCTCTGATGAACCCCACTCCGTCTCCCCCCCCCGGGGGGGGCTCTGCAGTCCTCTTTTGTTTTTGGTTCGTTTAGACGTCATGTGCTTCTTAGGTAGCAGGAGTATATACCGCACACTGAACACTGTGTAGTGGCCCAACCTGCGAGGATTTTCGTCGAGGATTTTCGTCAACTTAATTAACCTGCTTTTAACTCTGCTCTGTTCTTCTACAAATGCTGCTATAGCTTGCTTTTCGTCGTGCATCAGGTTGCTGTGCATCAGGTCCTGCGCGCCAGCAAAGAACACGTCATTTCCCTTTTTTCATGTCTTTCTGGACCACCACCACCACGTGCTTGTTCCATCCTAATATGTGGAGTTAAGTTGTCCTCTGCAGGCATATGCCATCGTGTTGTCGTATGCCATATACCGCGTGCAGTTAGTTGGTGGTTGTACGGAAGGACCGCAGCACGCAGGGAGCTTGTCCAAGAGCGTGGACTACATGTTAGGGTACTCCTAAGCAGTGCTTTGCACCGCTTAAGGGTCAAGGTGCCGCCGCAGGATTGTGCATTATGTCCGTGTGCATGTGTGTGCATGTGTGTGCATGTGCGTGTTACACCTTAAACTGCGTTGCAAGCCTCTTAAGGCGCACTCTGTGTTGGTGTTGAGAGTGCTCCCAGCCGGTTAGTGCCCCCATAGGATGGGGCGTGGGACATGGTACGTGTGGACTAGACCGCACGTCTACACAGACAGATAGACAGACAGATAGACAGATAGACAGATTGATAGACAGACAGACAGATAGACAGACTCACGGAAAAACTGAAGGGGCAGAGGAATTGGCGATTGATCACCTCCGCTATCGCCGATCAGCACTGAAAGGGGCTCCAAGGCCGCGTGTTGGCCGCAATCGTGGTGTGGGCAGCGCCCTTACAATTGTGTAGTAGGTCTACATGGCCATATGTGGAGGGGGGAATGGCGGTGTAGGGGTGCATTACGGGGCCGGGTTCGTTTTGCTGTTTCCTATGGTGCTTCGGGGGGTTCAGGTCACGTGTTCATGACGGCAGGTTTCTCCACTCATGCCAGGAGAGCGGAGCCCAGCAGACGAGGTTTACGATAATTAATGAAGAGGAGGAGGAGGAGGAGCTGGAGGTGGAGGGTGAAGAGGAGGAAGAGGAGCAGGGTGAGTGTACGTTGCGTTGCAGCGTGAGTATAGCGGCACTCTCTCCTGCCGCAACGAGCAGCAGGAGCACCAGAGCTGACCCCGACTTCCCCGACTTTGCGCGGGTGCTCTCACCCGCCGGTGGGAGGTACTGTGAGAGCGCCAACTGCCTGGTTGTGCAGCCACCACCGGTCGGAGACTGCGCGCCAGGGACTGCAAAATGGGCGGAGGGCAGCGGCGGTCTGCCCCTTGTGAGCTGTAGAACAAGGACTGATACCCCCTGGGACGGTGAGAATGGAACGCCGCCGCACCCCCTGTGGGTGGCTCTACAACCCCCTGCGCCCGCCAAGTCCCTATTCGGTCCTGGAGGGAAGCACCGTCGTGAGTATGAATACCCTGCGCCTGGAGGTCTCATGTCGGCGGACGTGGGAATGTCGACGAGGACCGCTGCGCTGAGTGGCTTTTCTTTAACATCAGCACGGGGCTGGTGTCAGTTGGTGTTGGTTAATAGTAGTTGTGGTGGTTGCCGATGGTGGTGGGTTAAGTGGTGGCCTGAGTTATCTCGTTCGGGGGGTGGGACCTGAAGGGCTGTTGTACGGGGGGTAGCGTCGCTCGTACGTTGTGCGCTGCCAAGCTTCGTTACCACAAGGGTGTCACACTCGAGACCTGTCCGGCCTAGGACGAGATGGATCGGCAACGCTTGGAGTTTAAACAGGGGGTACGATGGCTGATATGGAGGGGGTGACCGCTGGTGGAGCCGCGTCCGTCAAGCTCCTTCTTGAGGAGAGTTGGGTTTGTGTGTGGGGGGGACCAGTCTGAGGAAATCCCGGGTTTCGTTTCCGTCCCGCACATGGGAAGTAAAGATTTAGACAAGTTTTGGTATTGCTTACATGTCTGAGCGAGACCGGTCTTGGGAGCGCGGCGAGGTCGATGTGTGTTAGGTGCACTTTGGCAGCAGGCGCCTTGGGAAGCAGCCGTCGTCAACAATGCAAACCCCGGCATATAAGTTTCATTAACAAACAAACCCTAGTTCCCCTAGCAAGCCCTCCTCGCCGCCTGACACATGACTCGGGGCTATTGTCTGAATATATCAGTTTGGTGGGTACGGTCGCAAACATAGCAGGTTCTAAGACGCTGCAAACGTGAGTATGTGACAGATGGAAGGTAATCAGCCTTCCGTACGGCTTACTACAACGGGAATTTCGGTTTTAGGATCGTAAGGCTGGGTTGCAGTAACAGATTCTCTATTATCTCGGTCAGATTGCGCTGGATAATTCAAATGAAATGAACTTAGTTTCGATTGGTTCTGACAGCAGCGTCAGCTGCAACTGAAATGGCTGCACCCAAGCCCGTGATTGAGTTCATAGTTGCACATGAAGCCCAAGAAGTGAAATTTCGTGCAAATGCAGATACCAGCATCGACAAAGTCTGGGATTCATATGCCAAGAGCCGAAAGTGGCTCCCTAGCGACAAGGCAAGATACCGCATCTTTAAAGATAACGGGAAGACGTGCGTGCGGCTCAGTGACACGGTCCAAGGAAACAACATAACGGACGGAACAAGGCTGTATGTTTACGAGCTCAGCGAGGTGAGCTGCAACGTATTGACGCGTTCGAGACCGGCGATTGCATGCGCCGCCAGATTGCCAAAACACTTGCTGGTAATCTACAATAGCCAAGTGATAAAGGGTCCTATTGAGGAGCAGGGAACGCGGAACAATCGCGCACCGTCTTTGCGCGATTGAGTGCATTTTCATTAGAAATCGTTCTGGACCTTTTGTAATCATTACCCCATGGTGCTGATATTTCGCAGCTGGTGAGACGGGGCTTCATCTCGTTGAACTGTTTAGGTGGCCCATGGTTCACCCTGGCGGCGGCCTTAGGCTAGGCCTTCAAGCTAATCTATGCCTGCGGCCGTTGCTACTGCCTCTTCCGCCGCAGGACAAAAAATGTCGCATTACGTTCTGCGACCAGAGCGGCATGCAGCATGCCTTCGAAGCTTGCGTCGACGACGGTAAGCGAGCATATGAGGTCCTCAGGTCTTTAAAAACTCAATCTTTAAAAACTCAAAGAAACAGTGAGTTAAAAAATATGTAAAGAGAGTTCTTGCTGTGGGTGATAGCTTTGGGGATTCAAAAAAGTCAGCCAGCACAATATGAAGCAGAAATGGTTTCCTGCAAAGACTCCGGTTACACGCTACGCAGGGCCGCCAGGTCGTTAATTAACAATATAGGGAGGTTGGAGGGAGAGGGGAAGGACTCGCACCGACAATGAACAGCGACAACAAACGGCCCACATAAACAAACAGCCGCGAAGACATCCACTGCTGCCGACACGGCCCTTAGCGTGACGATCATTTCCGAAAAGTACGCTCGCACAGGGTCTGGGTAGAGGGCTTACGAGGGAGAGGGGGCTCGCATCGCCGCAGGTTGCGCCAAGGCAGGGGCAGTGGGAGGGTTTTTTCCTGAGGGATCGCTGCTGTAGGACTTGGAAGAAGTCGCAGGCGAAGGGGGTGGCTAACTGGGTGACGCTGTGTGTGAGCTGTGCCTCGAGTGGTGTGGTGCTGCCTCGAGGCATCCCTAGTCCCGTCGATGAGCTGGTCGGTAGCTGCTAGCCCAGTCCGTGCCCGGGCCCCGTCACGTGCGCTCGAGAGGCGGTTAGCGGGGCTTTTTTAACCCCTGCCCGCCCCCCCCCGCAACGGAGACCGGGTGAGGGACCCGGTGAGCTTTCTTACAGGACCTCGTGCCGTACTACGGGGGCCATGGTCTCCACGGGGTTTCCGGGTTTCCTTCCTGTCTTCGTGAACCCTCAACCCCGAGAGCCGGGTCAGGCGGGGGAGGGAGAGGAGTCTTCTTGCTTCGTGTTTCAGGCTCAGTGTGAACGCAAACTCGCGTGACGGAGCCTCTTGACTCGTGAGAGCGTGTGCGCGTGCGATGCTTTCCCCCTTCCCCCCGGAGGAAAGATACATACATACATACGCACACAAGGACCCCAAACGCTTGTTACTCTGAAAGAGTCGCGCTTCCTTCCCCCCATTGCTCGTTGGTTGTCGTCCCCTCCCCCTTACCCCGATTTATGTTTCTTACGGCCTCTTCAAGGATTTTATGAAACACTAGGTCTTTTCTCCCTCCCACCCTCCCACCCATCACTTTTGGCTCCTACCGCAGTTTGGTAGGTTGGACGTATCGATAGCTGACTCGGACCCCTCCCGGCGCCGTACCCGCCTGTACCGCCTTGTCGCATTCTAACCCCATCCTAACCCCAACAACTATTTCAATCCCAACCCCACTAGCCGCATTCGATGTCGCTCCGCCACGTAGATCTGCAGTACTGGGTGAACCAGTTTCGGAGCTGGGCTTGGGCCGCGCTGAGCGTACCGCCGGCCGTACAGGCCGCGGAGCGGTACACATTGTACAATTGCTGGACACGC